TAGATAGTGAGACGGATTACCAGAGGATAGAGCAGGATAAACGTAGGCTAGAGACTTGGCCAGGGAAATTAAGTGATGCATTTGGGAGAACTAATGCAGGAAAAGTATACAATAAAGGTCAGAGCCCTCAGTATTAATAACATGCAGAGGGATCTAGTAGTACTGATCATAATACCACTGCTAATAAGAATAATACATTATGTCCAATGCCATAGTAATGCAAATATATTACAACAATTTCGTATGATTCAATTTTGATTATTATCTTCTTGTGTAAGGCTGTATGTAAAACATTTCCAAACCTAAATACAGTACATCATATTTTCCTTGCTCTCGTACTTATCTACACTGCTAGTAGTATTCTCAAAATTGGACCACAACAGGTTTGTTAAACATGATTTCTCTGTAATAAATCCACATTTAACTCAACCTACTTATACCACTACTTTCTAAGGGTGCAATTGTCAACTCATTTCACGTTTACCCATTTATCATAAAGTCTAGTAATTAATACCAGCTGTATTTGCATGCATGAGATGAGTTGTGCTTTATGTTTTTACAAATTTATTAAATAATGCTACTGGCAATTTGGAAAATCCGAGCACAAATACATTTTTTTCAGATTTACACGTATGCAAATATCTTTTATTATTTCTACATAGTGTCGATATTGATATATGAAAATGTCCCAAATAATCCCACAAGTTCTAATACTTCTGTTCTGCATTGTAACACTTATACTAAACAATGATTTTGGCTTCATTGCACATCATCTGGCTGAGGCTGAGGCTGAGACAGTTTGCATACATGTCATATTTGACATTTGTGAAGTTGAACTTCTGACCATATTGCTCTTCTTTCGGAGCATTTTATACCACTATATATGTTTTACCATTATTCAGATATAAACGTTATTCGTGCATTTTCCATCTGCATAAACTCATTATATTTACGTTCAGCCTCCCATTCTTCATTCCAAACTTCATCATATCCCAATCTCTGCTGCCTGTGTACTGTATCACACCAATAGCATGTCATAGAGTCAGAGTTATACAGCATGGAAACAGAACCTTAGGTCCAACTTATCAATGCCGCCCAGACATCACGATCCGATCTCGTTCCATTTACCAGCATTTGGCCTACATCCTTCTAAACGCTTCATTTTCATAAACTCATCCAGATGCCTTTTAAGTGTTATAATTGTACCCGCCTCCGCCACTTCTTCTGAAAGCTGGTTCCATCCATGCATCACCCTCAGCGTGCAAAAGCTACCCCTCAGATCCTTTTTAAAACTATTCCCTCTCACCATAAACCTACGCCCTCTAGTTTTGGAGTCATCCACCCTACCCATGCCCCTCATGATTTTATAAACCTCTGTAAATGTCCCTCAGCCTGCAATACCCCAGAGTAAAAGCTTGAGCCTATTCAACCTGTCCCTGTAAGTCAACCCCGCAAGTCCCAGCAACGTCCTTGAAAAACTTTTTCAGCACCCTCTGAAGTTTAACAACATCTTCCCTAGAGAAGGGCAATCTGAATTCTATGCAGTATTCTAAATGTGACCACACCAATGTCCTGCACATCCGCAATATGACACCCCAACTCCTATACTTAATTTTCTGAACAATGAAGGCAAACCTGCCAAACGTCTTCTTTATCACCCTGTCTACCTGCAGCTCCACTTTCAAGGAATTACGCACCTGCACCCCAAAGTGTCTTTGTTTGGCAGCACTTCCTAGGGCCTTACCATATAGTTCATCAATGACTGTACATAATTACAACATTTTGTTGTTAACATTTACGGTCTGGTATTCCTTCCTCAGAACCGGGCCCGAAATGTTAACTCTGATTTTTTTTTTTTTATTCACAGACGCTGTCAGACCTGCTGAGCTTTTCCAGCAACCACTGTTTTTGTCCCTGATTTACAGCATCCTCAGTTCTTTCAGTTTTTATTTACAACTTTTTGTTGTTTGCGTTATGGAAGGATGACAAGATTGATTATGGCATTCCCCTTTCTTCTTTATTTCTTAATTGTTAAACTTGAAAATAACAAAATTTCAACAAAAGTCATAATGATTGATGAAAGTTTCTTTACTATGATACCAGTGTGTTCCAAAATTGCAAGATAGATTATGTGTATTTTAGATCTGAACGATTCTTGGTAATGTTTTCCCCTGCTAATGATGACTGTGAAACGTACTTGAGATCAATGACACCTTCAAGAAACCAATTGACCATATATATTTATCCTCAGATTACACTTTTTTCCCGAAGGTTTTCAATCCTAAAATTGAATGTGATCCAAATAATTTGCTAATATAATCCAGTTTGCAAAATAAGAATTATGGTTATTCTTGAACAGGAATTTACTAATTTGATCTTTTCTTATCTCCCCACATTCCATGATGCAGCATTTTGTCTCAAAGGTGGCTGGAATTAGTATATGGTAGCAGAATAGTTTTGTCAATTGGCTGTAACCCAATGGTCCATTTTACTGCTATGGTAACATGAGCTCAGAACCCATCGCAGCAGCCCACAGATTTCAAAATCGACGAAATTAATTTTTAATTTTGCATTTAATCTTATTTCACAAATGGTTGTCATGAAGATGTCATAAATTTTGTTACGACATGGAGACAGACAGTCAAATCAACTCAAACTCGCTATCCCTATTTTCACAATACAGAGAAATTAAACATTCACTGAACCCCAAAATCGACTCAAATGGTTCCTAACCAGATCTTTTAGATGACCAGTGCCAGACTTTGTTTATAACGGATACCAGACACCAGATTTAAAGCTTGAACAAAATATTTAAACATTTATTAATGACACAGAAGCTTTAGCAGATCTAAGTTAAACAACGACGGAATCTAAGTTCAGTCTATAATTTAAACCTAATCTCAGTTTTTTTTTTAATTTTAATCTTAGGCCTCTCCTCCCACCCCTTCCACTCATACCAAGACAGACAAACAGACACAGTTAAGGGATAAATCCTAAAACAAAAATGTAACTGACTAATTCACTTAACAGACTCCATGATACGTAATATCATGGGCACATGGGATTGTAAATTGCTTGATTTCTAAAGACACCAATGTGTGTTTTAGATCTCTAGAACCCGCAGTTCCTTTTTTTTATTGCCATCATGGAATATGCATAAGCATCTGTATGGCCCAGTCATTGAGAAACGAATGAGCTCATGTTTTTCTGAAGAAGGGTCTAGGCCCGAAACGTCAGCCTTCCTACTCCTCTGAGGCTGCTTGGCCTGCTGTGTTCGGTGAGCCATGACAGAGATAGTTAACAGTTAACAGTCTCTCCTTCTTCAGGAATTTTTTTGTGGATTTAGTGTCACATCTAATTTTGATCTGGCAAGGATATGAGCTCGAAGTTGTGTACACATCTGCGCCAACAATAAAATTGTCGAGTCAAATGGCCAGATTTTCTACAATCATCGAAAAACCTAAACTATAAGACTTCGAAGGTAGTGATTACTCCTTTATTCCCATTGTCACATCCTAGAAAACTTGGTATCAGATCGATATTTAAGATTGAGACATTGTGTGGGCGTGGGAAGTGGTGCCAATATCTAGGGAACTTGCAACCAGTTTTAGAAAAGATGATACTATTTCAAAAACTGTCACTGGTATTTTAACAGTGCTAAGATAAATGTCCATTCTATGAAGTGAGAGCGAAACAGTTAAAGGAAATTGGCGGGGGGTGGGGGGTGGGGGAGATGTGGGTGGTGTGCAGGTGAAACCAACATGTAAAAATCGAAAAAGCTATCAATAAAAACTTGATATAAAGTGATAATGTTGAATAGTATTTTAAACAGAATTAACACTATGTTATGCAACAGATGTATAAGTAATTATTAAGAACCAATGTGGCGTACATTAATGTCAACGCAGAACCTACATGAAGAAAGTTCGTAGACATAAATTCCAATATCCATTTTGGTAAGTGAAGTAGTGGCAATAACGATAACGTAGGTTAAATTAATGGTGGATAGATGGTTAGCTTTCGGAATTGCAAAGTGTTTAGAAAACATTGGAAAATGAAACAAAAACGTCAGTGACATCTCTGATGTGAGTGGATTACTTTGTGGTTTTGCAAGGAAGGATTCCTTTGAGCAGGCAAACACAAAATGAATTTGGTTAGAGTTTGTGAAGTGAATTCTGAAATGGTGAATTGAAAGCAAAACCGGAATGATGAGCCTGCTATCGGTATTATATATGCCACCAAACATGGACAGACAGAAAGAGGAACAAATCAACTGGGAAAAAATCGTAGGTTACGAAAGAACTGGGTGAAGAGATGGCTGAAGGCGTTGCTGTAATCTTACATTTTTTACTAAATACAGTGAAGTATGCAGAGAATTGAATAATGGCAATGAGCAAAAGTGCATTTTTGTCATTCCTTGAACAAATTGTTCAACATCAGTGAAGGGTAACATTATGCAGACAACAGTAAGGAAAAAGAGAAAATATTATTTGGAGAAACAGGTGCATTGTCATTCGCATCCAGCACGGTAACATTAATCTGGGTGATGCCAAATTTCTGTGGAATTCTTCCATCGAAAACCGTCAGCATCAATCTATGATTCGACTGTTGTTCTCGGTCTAGGGGTCGTTCAAGCAATAATTCGGGAATGCCAGTTTGATCGTTCTGCGACCGTGACCTCAATATAAAATGGTCATTTGGACTCAGTTGGTAGCAGCGGATGCCGTTGGTTCCAGTGTTTGGGTCAAACTCTCTCTGGAGTGGGAAAGTTGTTCCAGCCGGTAACAATTCCCCGGATTTTATTTGAACCTCCTTTGTTTGGAATGAGTGTGTGTTGCCATTGACATCGAGAATTTCAACCTCAATCTGATATAGCTTTGGCGAACTTCCCTCATTAAAACTTTTAACCTCATCAGGCATTTGCGACTTTGTTCACACAATTCCTCTCTATTCGTTACTTCACATACAACATTCCGGTTTTCAAATTCACGCCTACATACTGTTTTCCGTTTGCGGACCTTATTCGAAACTTGGGCGACGATAGTTCTCCTGTGTATAACCCCAGGTCCTTCGCAATATCACCAACAAAGGCACCAGTCTCTCCTTCTTCAGGAATTGAGTAGCGAATGATGCCCGACGCAGGGTACATCAAGATGATAAGCATGAAATAAACAAGGCGCCAGTATGCGTCTCGGCTTTTCAGCAAGGAGTACAGCTCGCCAAAATACGGCTCGATTCTCCACAAGATTCAACCTCCACTAGATGCGTAACGTAGAACTGTATCTTGGACTAAGAGCGCCAACTATTCGTTTTGATTGCTGACAATTCTTTCACTGTACAATTATTGTCGCAGACGGAGAGCATAGAATGGCGAGTGCTGTACGTTCTTTCGGTGCTGCACACTCTACGGTGTAGGGGGAGGTGGAACTGTATCTCGAACAACTTTGTCTTCTCATTGGTAAACAGAGACACAAAGAGACTCGACCAATCACAACATAAAATAATCTTAAGGCATCACTGCCTCCACTGAACGCGACAAAGTAATTGATTCTTGTCGATTTAACGTTGTACGCTTTTAATGGAAGAAATGCATTTGTTCATTTTTTTAAAATTCAATCATCCATGTAGCTGTAGCGTAATTAAGATTAATGTAGCTGAGCAGTATTCGTTACGTAGTTGATATGCTCACTTAACTAAAATAGCCATGCATACTTCAAGCCTTTGGTTTTCATCGATGGAAATCACACTACTGAACCAGAAAAACTGAAGCGAAAGTAACAGCGGATGCTGGAGATTTGAAATTAAAAACAGAAATCGCTGGAGAAATTCAGCAGTTTTGTCACGATCTTTAGACAGCGAAACAGATTTAATGTTTTGAGCGCAATATGACTGTACTTCAGAAATCAAATTGAAAGAGCTGTTTATTGATTTATTATTTTATCAAGCTGCGTTTGCAATAAATCCGTGTTGCAGGTTTTTTTTTCTTTTTCTTTTCCCGAAGAAGCACCTCATTCACATACTAATACAGCCGGGGATGGTCAGTAAAGCGACCTAACTGAAATTAAACAAAAATTACACAACACAAAATCATATGAAGAGAAAAATGAGCGCAGTGAAACCAGCAGATTGTACTTGCGTGTCTGCATTCTTACTGTGTCTGGGATTGAGAGCATTGTACCCCGCTGACTTCCCTCAAATGCTTTTAACCGGTTGTTAATGTTCCTTCCGATAATACTTACCTTCATTTCTCTTGTTGGTTTCACAAGCTATTTAAAAAAAAATGCTGGTGGATGCATTTGAACACAGAACATAGAATATAGAACAGTACAGCACAGTAATGTCCCTTTGGCCCACGATGTTTTGCCGATCTACTATCCCACTAAGATCAATGTACCCTGCACACCCTACATTTTACTATCCTCCCTGTGCCTATCCAAGAGTCGCTTAAAATTCTCTGAAGCATCTGACTCCACTATCACTGTCGGCAGCACATTCCGCACGTCCACCACTATCTGTGTAAAGAACCTAGCTCTGACATCTTCCCTATACCTTCCTCCAATCACCTTAAAATTATGCCCCCTAGTAATAGTCATTTCCGCCCTGACTACCCACTCTATCTATGCTGCTCATCATCTTGTACACTTCTATCAGTCACCTCTCATCCTTCTTCGCTCCAATGAAAAAAAGCCCTAGCTCCCTCAAACTTTCCCCACAAGACCTACCTTCCAGTCCAGGCAACATCCTGGTAAATCTCCTCTGCACTCTGTCTAAAGCTTCCACGTCCTTTCTATAATGAGGTGACCAGAACTGAACGCAATATTCTAAGCGTGGTCTAACCAGAGCTTTATAGAGCAGCAGCATAAAAATGTGCTTCTCAGAACTGTCACTGTTCCACTAAAATCACATAAATAAAGTCCATATCTCCCACTCCAAGATTCCCTCTCGATTTCCTCCAATGACGTTCAACTGACTTTGCCTATCGATATTGGGATCTATTTGACGGATTAATAATTAGTAACCACACCAGTCTTTTACCTCTACAATGAAATTTATAAACAAACTTTTGTCACTCAGTCCATTTCGTAGGTGATCATACTGCTGTACTAGTTTTGAATGCAAGGTGTTTCATATATCACATAGTGACTATCATGGTGATAATTTTTGTCTGACTAACATGCTATTTTTTTTTCTTTATAATTTATCTAAACTAGCATCATGGTGTTACTTCTTTAAACATAAGTTCATATTTTACCTTTTACTTAATGTGGAATTGTCTTTATTCGCATCAACTATGAAAGAAGTCGGGCTGGATATCAAACAATGATGAATCAGAATACCGGAAGGAGGTAGAGTACTTGGTGTCATGCTGCAATTATAACAATGTCTCTCTCAATGTCAGCAAAACAAAAGAACTGATCATTGACTTCAGGAAGAAAGGAGGAGAACACACACCTATCTACATCAACAAAGCTGAGGTGCAGAGGGGCGAGAGCGTCACGTATCTCGGAGTGACGATCATTAACAATCTGTCCTGGACCTCGTACGTGTATTTGGCTCAGGAAATTTGGCATGTCTATAAGGACTCTCACCTTTACAGATGCACCATATAAAATATTCTCTCCGTATGCATAATAGCTTGGTACAGCAACTGCTCAGTCCAGACCGTAAGGAAGTGCAGAAAGCTGTGTGCACAACCCAGGCCATCACGGAAGCCAAACTGCCATCCATGGACTCCATTTACATTTATCGTTGACGCAGAAAGGCTGCGAACATCATAAAAGACAACCACACTCGCACCCCTCCGCCAACCCCGATAATACTCTCTTCCAACCTCATCCGTCATGCAGAAAATACAGAAGCTTGAACACACACACCAAAATGCTCTAGAACAGCTTCTTTTTCTGCTCTTATTAGACTGTTGAGTAAACCGCTCTAATTTCAAATCTACTGTTGATCTTGCTTTGTGATCCCCTGTGCAGCGGTAACCATATATATCTCGCTCTGCGTAAGCACCTTACGATCCGTATGTCTTTTTTTGCTATGATCTGCCTGTACTGCGTGCAAGACGAAACCTTTCACTCTACTTCAGTACGTGACAACAATAAATCAAATCAAAATACATTTCTCAGTCTATCTTCTAACTTTACTCCTCCATCAATCCTGCAGAATGTATTCCTCCTCATATTTTGAATTTTTTTTTTCTCTTAATCTCTTTTTTTTCGCTCTCAACTCTTGATGTAGCTCCCAATCTCTTGATCACTAAAACGGTAATGTCCAATCATTTTATTCTTTTAATGCCAGTCTCTACCTTTTTTTATTGCAATTCCACTTTTTATATAAGTTAAAAGTTACCAGTTTGTTCTTGTAGCTTCTCATTTTCTGTCTTTTCCAATTTATTAATTTAGTAACCGTAAATCCCTGAAGCCAAGTAATAACATCTTCATTTGTTGAGTTTAGGTGATTTGTCTGTTGGTAAGTTAGTCTTTAGAGGGGGAAACCCTCTGCAATGAGCAGCATTGCTGTTGTCTGTCGATATTTGCAAAATGGATTCACGTGGAGACCTCAGCAATGCATATTGCTGCAGAGAGGCCCTGGCTTGCCATAAACTTAATTAACAAATGCTCATACCACTATGGTACTTCAAGGACTCCTTGAAAAGTCTTTCATGTCTCTGTTTATGGAGGAAGTGATGGGCAAATTATTTTTCCCACAGTTTGAAAGGGTACAAATCAGACCATGTTTGATGCCCGTATCCAACAATTATATATGGTTCTGAAAGCTATCATGTCGTTTCTTTACAAGCAACTAGTTCAAATTTATATTGGTTTCTAGATGGCCTCTAGCTCTTGCGAATTATTTCTTCTTAATATCCTTTGGTACCTCTTATTTTCTTTTCAATGCTCTAGACCTATAAGCTAGAAAGAGTTCTAGGATTGCTTAGTAACAATATAGAAGACATTGAATCGGCTATTATCAACAGGTTTGCCGATATAATTATCTACGAAACCAACTATTTGTCATAACTCCCATTAAATTCCTATTGCTGATCTTCTGTCATTTTTTTTCTCAAGCCTGAACCATCTCCATTATTTTAAGCTCTATTTCCGGCCTTGTTGGAGCCAATGACCACCATATCACTAAAATGTGAACCACCGAGCATCTTGAGTACAATTTGAGCTGATATTACAAATAGAACTTTAAAAAAAAAAATTAGAGCAGGACCCTCTCAAAACTACAATGTTTTCCTTTACACTGTGGCACATCACCCTCTTGCAAACTGTTAAGCCTTTCACCCACAATTCCACAAATCCCTCCATCTCGCTATATTTGAAACCTTACTACTTTGCCTATGCATGTGCCACTTCACAGACAGTATTACTTTGTAGCCCTTCCAGTCAGGTCCTCCCTCTTTTACTATAGAGATAACGCATATCTAAAAGATGAACGTACTTCTGATAATAGTGAATTAACTGTCACTCGATCTATTGGCCTTTACAGCCATATATCTTTGAGTAACCACATCAATTTTGATTTTTCTTTTCCACAATGTTAGGCATCCTGGCATTATTTTGCTATTTTCCACTCTCTACTCTCATGTTACATTTAAAATGCATCTCTTATAACGAACATATATTTTTACCTTCCAACCTATGAATAAAGATTCCACAAATGTGCTGCTGGCATTAGTTTGTATTTGTTCGCCCACATTATATGAACTTCCATTCCTTATTACATTTGCTTGTGATTCAACTGTATGTATTGAGCAATTGCCTTCAGTTAAAAACTATCTGCAATATCAAAATACTTCTCATTAACTTAACCACAAAGCTTTCGGCATACACCTAACTCAACTCTTCTCCAGGTTCACTCAACAAGCTCGTGATGATCTTCCTAGCATTTTCTATCAATCCAAGTAATTTCCAAGTTCCAGCACAGTTTTGAAACCTGCCTGCTTACTTCTTATATTCAATCACTTTGTAAGCCATTTATAGGTTATCTCAGTCCATTAAAAGACTATCCTTCTTCCTTATCTGCATTCTCACCCATTGCCCCAAGCCTGCAGAACGTATAAAGTCAATGGAATTTACTTTCCACACAAAGGAATTAAATAGTGTAACTCATAACGTTGAGAGACAATAAACATCTCCTCGTCAAGGCCAATCTGAATGTAATGATGTAACTGATGTGTGTTGTAGCTTGGAAAAGTTAATAAAGTAAAATGTCTCAGTGACCAGGTCACATATCAAATTTGAAAGTGGAATTATTCTGCTTTGCAAGTGACAGCAAACCTGACGTATCACCCCATCAACCTTCGGATCCAACGTATCATTCTCCACCACTTCCGCCACCTGCAATCTGACCCCACTACCAAGGATATATTTCCCTCTCCACCCTGATCTGCCTTCCGGAGGGACCACTCTCTCCGTGACTCCCTCGTCCGTTCCACACTCCCCATTAGCCCCACCACACCCGGCACTTTTCCCTGCAACCGCAGGAAGTGCTACACCTGCTCCTTCACTTCCCCCCTCACCTCCATCCCAGGTCCCAAGAAAACCTTCCACATTAAACAGATGTTCACCTGCATATCTACTAATATGGCATATTGTATCCACTGTTCCCGATGTTACCTCTTGTACATCGGGGAAACCAAGCGGAGGCTTGGAGACCGCTTTGTGGAACACCTACGCTCTGTTCGTGACAAATGGCAACACCTCCCAGTCGCGAACCACTTCAAATCCGCCTCCCACTCCTTGGACGACATGTCCATCCTGGGCCTCTTCCAGTGCCACAACGATGCCACCCGAAGGCTGGAGGAACAGCACCTCATATTCCGCTTGGGAATACTGCAGCCCAGTGGTCTCAATGTGGGCTTCACAAGCTTCAAAATCTCTCCACCCCCGAGGTCATTCCAAGACCAGCCCATCTCATCCCCGCCTCCTATAGCTGTCCGTCTTTTCTCCCACCTATCCGCTCCTCCCACCTCACTGACCAACCCCCAACCCCACTTCCTACCTACTAACCTCATCCCCGCCTCCTGGACCTGTCCGTCTTCACTCCCACCTACCCGCCCCTCCCTCCTCACTGACCAACCCCCATCCCAACTCCCTACCTACCCCCACCTTTTCTTGTTTTATTTCCGCCCCCTTGACCTGTCTGTCTTCTCTCCACTTATCTGCTCCTCTATCCACCTTCTACCATCACCTCCCCCTCTCTCTATTTATTTCAGAGCCCCCTTCCCCTCTCTCATTTCTGAAGAAGGGTCCAGACCCGAAACGTCAGCTTTCTTGCTCCCCTGATGCTGCCTGGCCTGCTGTGTTCATCCAGCTCTACGCTTTGTTATCTCAGACTCCAGCATCGGCAGTTCCTACTATCTCTGAGTGACAACTGTATAGAGAGTGCGTTAGCATGAAGGACAGCTAAAATTAAGAGGAATATAAAAATATACCGAGCTGATCAGAAGGTAAGAGTTTCAAAAATGCAAGGTTGTGAAATGTACAGAGCCATGTTTGAGATTGTGAATACAATTGATGAACCAGATGGAGAATCTGGTCTGGATCTATGATGTGAAGATACCATCAAAGTAATTTTATTTTCATATGACAATACCTGAGGATAACATTTTCTGATTGCAAAACTATCACAATACATTTAAGAGAATGAAAAGTTGTCAGTACAGCACTATAGATCCAGGAAAGAAAGGGGAATTTAGATAGAAACTATATCTATTAGGTTGGTGCCAGACAGGGAGAAGCAGATAGTTGGTGAAGTAATTATTCATTACAGACATGTGAAAAATAGAACACAGCAATCTTAGTTCTCAATTTTAGCCAAATAGGTTCAACATGTTATTGTTCACTGTCTCATCCTCGTGGTTTAATGGTGTATCAGTCTCATTGTTAAGAAGATAGGATCATTTGTACAACAAGTATAATAGAGAAGGCAAGCAGAAATAATGGTTAAAGATATCAGCCATATTTAAAAATCCAGCAGAGTGATGCATAAAAGTAATGGAAGTGATAAGGCAATGGGCATAATGGATTATCTTCAGATTGCTTAATCAATTCTCACATTCTGAAACAAAAAAGGAGATATTATGCTTGTTCTAGGTCCAGACAAGAATCATTTAAGTTTAGATAGACCAATAAAATAAAGCTAATTATACTTGCAAAATGGCTAAGGCAGAAGGGGATACATCAGACACGTTCATCGAAAAATGGCAAGGGGAAACTTCTTAAAGTCACTAAATAAAGTGAACATAAAACAAACTTGGTTTGTTTAGAATTTATAGAATAGAACTAGGGTTATTCAGTCCCTCTGGTTTGTGCTAATAGCAATTCTCTGCATAAGCCTTATATTATAATAAAATTGATGTATTTGTGAACTCCTGTCTTTATTTTCCCTTTATCTACTTAATTAATTTCGTCTTGAAAGCAATCTCATGTCCCAAAAAAAGTACCCGTGGTTCCCCCTTTGAAGTACAACTGGATTTTTTTTTTCTGATAAATTACCTTTTGTATTTATTAGTAAACATGTTCAGTTACAAATCACTTTTCAATAGTTAATAGGAATATATAGACATAGAACATAGAACAGTACAGCACAGTACAAGCCCTTCGGCCCACGATGTTTTGCCGACCTATCATCCAATAAGATCAATCCACCCTGCATACCCTACATTTTAATATCCTCCATGTGCCTATCCAAGAGCAGCTTAAAAGTCTCTAAAGTATCTGACTCCACTACCACTGCCCGCAGCGCATTTCATACGCCCACCACTCTCTGTGTAAAGAACCTACCTCTGACATCTTCCCTATGCCTTCCTCCAATCACCTTAAAATTATGCCCCCTCGTATTAGTCATTTCCGCCCTGGGAAAACGTCTCTGACTATCCACTCTATCTATGCCTCTCATCATCTTGTAATATTTTTGATATTCGCAAGAAAGAATGGTGTGCAATGATAAATAAAACAAATTGTGCGTATTCAAAAGCAAGGTATTCAAAATTCAATTCATAAAGAGTGGCATAAATGCAATTTTTCACCTTGCCTTCCAGACATCTCCTGTTATCTGTTGGTACTGGGCATGGTTGTGATCCAGTCATGGAGTCAAAGAGATGTACAGCATGGGCCAGGTATTCTACATTAATTTAGTCACATTTGCCAGCATTTGGCCCATGACCTTCTAAATCCTTCCTATTCACATAATCATTCAGATGTCTATTAAATGCTGTAATTGTCCCAGCCTCCATCACCTCCTCTGGCAACTTATTTCATACATGTACCACTCTCTGCATGAAAATGTTGCCCCTTAAAACCTTTTAAATTTTTCCCCTCTCAACTTACACCCATATCCTCTAGTTTTGGACTCCGTTACGCTGGGGAAAAGACTTTAGCTATTCACTCTATCCATGCCCTTTATGATTTTATAGGCTTCAATAAAGGTACCCCTCAGCCTCCAACGCTCCATGGTGAGTAACCCAGCCTATTCATCCTTTCCCTGTAGCTCACACCCTCCAACATCCTTGTAAATCTTTTCTGGACCCTTCCAAGTTTCACAATATCTTTCCTATATCAGGGAAACCAGAACTGAACACAATATTCCAAAAGTGGCCTAACCAATGTCCTGTACAGCGGCAACATGACCTCTGACTCGTATAATCAATACACTGACCAACAAAGGCACCATAACAAACAGCTCCTTCACTACTTTGTCCACTTACGACTCCACTTTCAAGGAACTATGAGCCAGTACTCCAAGATCCCTTTGTTCAACAACACTCTCTAGGACCTTACCATTAATTGTATAAGTTGTGTTCAGATTTGCCCTACCAAACTGCACTTTTATCTATATTAAACTCGATGTGCCACTCCTCAACCCATTTGGCCACCTGAGCAGTTTCCACTGTACTTTGAGATCACCTTCTTCGCTTTCAAATACACCACCAATTTCGGTGTCATATTCAAAATTACTAACCATACTTCCTATATTCACATCCAAATCATTCATATAAATGTCAAAAATCCGTGGACTCAGCACCAATCCTTGCAGCACATCACTGGTCACAGGCCTCCACAATCACACTTTCGCTCCTATCTTGACACCAATTTTGTATCAAAATGGTTAGTTCTCGCTGTATTTCATGTGATCTAACCTTGCAAACCAGTCTATCAGGTGGAACCTTGTTGAAAACCTACTGAAGTCCACATAGACAATGTCCACTGCTCTGCCTTCATCGACCTTCTTTTTCACTTCTTCAAAACACTCAATCAAGTTAATGAGATACAATGCCCCACGCACAAAGACATGCTGATTCTCCGTAATCAGTATTTTTCAAATACATGTAAATCCAGTCCCTCAGAATCCCCTCCAACAATTTACCCACCACTGACTTCAGTTTCACGGCTATATAGTTCCATGATTCTTCCTTACCACTTTTATTAAATAATAGCACCACGTTAGCCAACCTCCAGTCTTCCATAACCTCTTCCATGGCTATTGGTGATACAAATACCTTGGCAAGGGGTCCAGCAATCATTTCCCTTGTTTCCCACCAATTTCGAGGTTACATCTGATCTGGTCCCAGGGATTTATCCACATCTGTGCATTTTAAGACGCATAGTCCAGCATCTCCTTTTCTGTAATATGGACATGTTTCAAGATATCGCTATTTGTTTCCCCAAGCTCTCTGGTTTCCACATCCTTCTCCACAGGAAACACTGATGTGAGATACTCATTTAGTATCTCACCTATTTCCTGCGAGTTCATACTTAGGCAGGCTTGCTGATTTTAAAGGGTTCTATTCTCTCCCTAGTTACTCTTTTGTTCTTGATGTAATTGTAGAATCCCTTTGGGTTCTCCTTAACCTTATCTGTCAAAGCTATTTCATGCCCCCTTTTTGCCCTCCTGATTTCCCCTTGAGTATAGTCCCACTCCTCATACTATTCTAGAGATTCCCTCCATCCCTGCTGTACGTTAGCAATTCTGTTTTAAAGAGGAGCTCTCATTTTATTCTCTGTCTCTCCACCACTTAACTTTACCACATCCATCCCTTCCACCTCCCCACCCCGAACCATCGCCAACACAACACAATCCAATGCTTTAAGCATCATTCAGTTAGCACTTCGACATAACTATATGATCATGTAAAGACAAAATACTGTGCATGCTATAAATGTGAAACAAACACAGAGAATGCTGGAAAAGTTCAGCAGGTCTGACAGCATCAGTGGAACAAAGTTAACGTTTCGAGACCAGTATGACTCCTCTCCACGGCTGTTCTGAAGAATCATAACAGACTCCAAACTTTAAATCTGCCTCTCCCCGCACAAACGCTGCCAAACCAGTTGACTTTCTCCGTCTTTCTCTGTGTTTGTTTATGCAATTATGTGAATTAGAATAATAGAACTAAATCCTTGCTGGACAATGGTGTAAAATAAAAAAAAAACTACTACCCGCAAGTAAACGGTATCCCTTGACAGAACTTGTATCACAATTTTGTGCATGCTATATAAGACTGATATCATTTTGTTTTCCCTGATATCCAGATAAACAATGTTTAATTAACATTAATGACTGTTTAACCTATTCAAGATTGGTGAATTGAGTCTTGCATGAAGCAGAGTAATAAAGAACCTAAGAGCAAGCCCAGGTCATTAGAACTTTCATAGCTGTTCCACCGTTCAATAAGATTATGACTGATTTGAGTGTAGTCTTAATTCCACGTCCTAATCTGCCCCAAGCCTGCTCCCTGTACTCCATAAATGCCCCTCCTCCATTCCCCCATCCTACACACGAATACACCTTGGCCAAGGAATTATGGACCCTGCAAAGGTTTGCACATCTCACCTGGTGAGTTTGAATGGTTTCCTTCACAGTAGAAAAGGGCTCCTTTGCAGTGTGATCTATTAGCAAAGAGCCATCTTTCACAGTGATCGTTGATTCCAGCGGAGCATGTAACTTTAACAGCGTGAAGTCCTTCGCGACTGAATTTGAAGTCGGACACCCGCCATATCGAACTGTTTGAGGGAAGGGTGCTCTTTCGTGCACATCCTGGTAATTAATTGGAATTGGAATATCCGCACTGGCCTTTTGAACGCCTCGCAGTGATTCTCTTCGCACAGCACAGAACAGTATCTGCGAGGAACAACAGTCGCCATGATCTTCATGTGCGCCTTTGTGAACTTTAATGGCGAGGATTACAATAGCCACAAGAAAGACAAAGGAGATTATCCCAAAAGAAATTATCAAGTACACTCTGGCACCATGTGCCCAAAATTCAGAGTTCCTCAGCGCAACGACATCAGATGCACTTGCATGATCAGTTTCCAGCAATGACAAGTTGATACTGATTGTTGAAGAAAGTGAAGGTTTTCCGTTATCTCTGACCAGGATCACGATTTTCTGTTTCAGTGAATCTTTTGTGTCAAAGCGGCGGATAGTCCATACTTCTCCTGATTCGGAAGCCACGGTAAACAAACTTTCATCAGTAGGCTGGCCAAGCTGATAAAATAGATGGGCGTTCTGTCCTGAATCAGCGTCTGTAGCTGTCACTTTAATCACAAGATAACCCGGATCAGCAGATCTGGGCATGGTCTCCTCTGCTGCTGAGCCTTGATTTGCCAGTGGTGATAGGATCACGGGGGCGTTATCATTCTGATCGACTATGATCACGTTTACAGTTACGTTGCTGGAGAGCGGTGGGGACCCGTTATCCATTACTTGCGCAGAAAGCCGAAGATCGTGAAGTTGCTCGTAATCGAATTTTTGTTGCGCAAACATCACTCCGCTGTTTGAATCAACAAAGACGAATGCGGACACAGGCACACCATGAACTGAACTATCCAGGATGGAATACGAGAGTCGGCCATTTTCATTACTGTCTGGATCAACTGCCGATAGAAATCCGATTGACGCGCCCATAGCATTATTTTCCGTCACATACATTGTAAAAGAAGGCTGCGTAAAGCGTGGTACATTATCATTTACATCCAATATTTGCACGGGGATGGTCTTTTTAGTCGAAAGCGGGGGGTTGCCTGTGTCCGTGCATGTAATTGTAGTGTTATACTCAGGCACCTTTTCACGATCTATGACACCATCAGTAACCACTGTGTAATAGTTACTCAAAGAGCTGTCAAGTTTAAAGGGAACATCCTTGGAAACATGGCAATAAACCTCCTGTCTTTGTTTGGAGTCTCTGTCCGTTACTTTCAAAATGGCTACTAATGTCCCTCTAGGGGCGTCCTCTGGAATCGGGGCATGCACAGAATTTATCATAATTTTGGGAGCATTATCATTAACATCAGTAACTTTTACTAGGACCTTGCAATACGATGGTATTCCTGCAGCGCCTCTGTCCTTTGCTTGCACTGTCATCTCGTAATTCTCCATCTCCTCGAAATCAATCATTTCATTTACTCTGATCTCTCCTTTCTCAGGATTAATGCTGAACAGTTTACGTATTTTATCACCAGTGTCATCGCTGAAAGAATATACTATTTCACCATTTATTCCCTCGTCTAAATCTATAGCATTAACCTTTGCAATTAAAGAGCCCTTCTTTGCGTTTTCAGGAATAACAACTTGATACACATTCTCATCGAAAACCGGTGCATTGTCATTGATATCAGAAACGCTTATCATAACCTGCGTACTTCCTGATTTGCTTGGGGATCCTCCATCGATTGCGGTTAATGTTAACCGATGAGTCGCTTGCTGCTCTCTATCTAAGGCTTTTTGGAGGATGAGCTCTGGAGTAATTATTTGATCGCTATTGTTTTGTAGTTCTAAAGCAAAGAAATCATTTTGGCTTAGTCGGTAAGTGTGGACGCTGTTGCTTGAAGAATCAGGGTCGTGCGCTTTTTGAAGTGGAAAGCGGGCTCCGGGCGAAGCAACCTCTGGTATTTCAAAACGGATCTCGCCTTTCTGGAACGCGGGTGGATTGTCGTTTATGTCGATAATCTCAACGTCAATATGATATAAATTAAATGGTTTCTCAGTCACAGCTTCCAAAGTCAACACACATGCGAATATCGGTTCACAGAGCTGTTCCCGGTCTATTTTCTCTTCGACGAACAAAAGTCCGTTTTCAAAATTTACATCCAGATACTGCTTGTGCTTTTCCGTTACAATCCGAAACTTCCGAACGGAGAGCTGCCGTACATCTAGACCGAGGTCTTTTGCAATATTCCCAACAATAGTACCTTTCTGCAATTCTTCGGGAATCGAATAGCGAATGGTCCCGTAAACTGAGTATACAGATTGGCCGAATATCAAATAAAGAGACTGCACATAAAATGACCAGAATGTTAAACGAGCCATTCGTCCTCAAAGACCAGGACAGCTACCGCGGCCAAATACTCCAATAAATTGTACTGCAGTTATCATACCTTAGCTTATATTTACAACACTATATCAAAAGGTGCCTTCTTCGCTTCTTTCCAATTTCCAGTTGTTTGGCGAGAAACAAGCATCATTTGCATGAAGCTCCTGTAGAGAATAAGATGCTGTCTCAGATGTCAACGAGAAACAGAAAACAAAGAGTGTGCCGCTTATTCTCCGATGTTGCGTGGTGTTTCGTGTTGTGAGCGTGGGGCTGGATCTCCAGCCACATTACTACCACCGTATTGGTACACAGCGACACAACGAGTATCGACCAATTATAACACCAACTCCTCTTAAAGCAGTTTTGAACCAAATCACATTGTACAACCTTAAATGTGATTGTATTTTCATACCATTTAGCTATTTAGGCTATTAATGGTTTGGGCTAAAGTTTGAATATAACATAGTACTGATTGTAACTGCAGACACGTTGATTTTTTTTTAAATATACCTAAATACATTATTTATGGTTTTTTGCAATGACCAAATTTTATGTCGGTCAAAATAGTGTAAGATATTCATTGAAACCATGACAGTTCGTTTATCCTTATATAGTCACAATAATTTACGTATTGTGAAAGCATTTTTAGTGCGCTGTTAACAATGTTAAAGTCGCCACGTCCTACCAGACCATAGCGTTGCTCTCTCGTCAAAGAGAGATAACTCGTGGTTGTTTAACCTAAGGGTTAGCTCAGGCAAGGGGAGAAGTTGAGAAGGAAACTCTTCAAGGTAAACTCAGGTGGTATGAGAATTGAAACCCATGGCTTTAGTGTTACTCTACATTGTAAACCAGCCATAATGCCCTGTTACAGAGATTTTGCTTTTATTATTCATTTTTGTGCGATGTTGACAAGGCTGGTGGGCCAGCATTTTTTGCCCGTACATAGTTGCCCATGAGAAGGTGGTGGTGATTTGTCTTCTTGAAAACTGCAGTCCACCGGCTGGGGGTTGACCCACAATGCCATTAGGGAGGGAATTCCAGGATTTTGATCAGCGACAGTCACGGAACGGGGATATATTTCCAAGTCACATGGTGAGTAGCTTGGAAGCAAACATGAATGTGGTTGTGTTCCCATGTATCTGCTGCCTTGTCCTTCCAAATGGAAGTGGTCGTGGGTTTGGTAGAAATTGTCTGAGTACCTTTGGTGAAATTCTGGAGTGCGTCTTGTAGGTAGTGCACACTGCCGCTACAGGGATTATGATGTGGAGGTGCCGGTGTTGGACTGGGGTGAAACAAAGTCAAAAATCACACGACATCAGGTTACAGACCTTCAGGAACAAAAACAAAGTTGCTGGAAAAGCTCAACAGAAGCCATAAACCAACAGGTTTATTTGAAGCCACATACTTTTGAAGCACAGCCTTTTCATCATGTGCAGTGAGAGGAGACGCAAATATGGAGAGTTTTTGGGCAGAGAGATGAAGGGCAGACAGATCAAAGGGTCATACAACTGGTGTGAGTGGAGTGACAAACCTAAAATGGTTGACTGGCTGCCTCCTGTTAAATATTTAAACATTCATACATTCCTGCTTTCTAGAAATTGCAGAAGCAGGATATGGAGAACTCTCTTAGAAAGGAGATGTAGTTTTCAATTGATTAAGATGCAAATTCCAGAATGTGTTTCAAGTCACAGCCCCGAGATAATTAAAGGTTTCACCAGAGCGTGCCTGACTTTCCAAACTTCAAACAGGCAGCACAGTAGGAAAATACAAAAGGTGACATCTCACGTCAGACACTGAATTGTAGGTTAGAGGCCTTGTTCAGAATCTGTCTCAGAGTTTTAACCTGGAATCAGGCTGGTTTTATTCCGAAAGCAGGGGCTTATAACATGACACACCGACTGATTGTGAGTATAAATCATGTGTGTCTTGACCAAAACAGAATGTATCAGCAAATGAATCAACATCTTGGATGAAATGATTCACCTCATAGGTTTGTGTGTATGTGTGCGTGCACTCAGAAAGCTTGTGATTTCAGATAAACCTGTTGGGCTACAGTGCGTTGGTAGTGGCGAGAGTGGATGCTTGTGGATGTAGTACCAATCAAGTGTGCTGCTTTGTCCTGGATAGTTTCAAGTTTCTTGAGTTTTTTTTTGAGTTGCATCCATCCCAGCAAGTGGGGAAAAATCCATCATACTCCTAATTTGCGTTTTGTTGATTTTGGACAACAAGCTTTAGAGTGGGACAGGCGTTGTGGTTAACAGCCTCTTATAGCCTCTGCGTTTGTGTGGTGAATCCAGTCGAATTTCTCGTCAATGGTTACCCCTTGGATATTGACAGTGGGGGATTCAGTGATGGTAACACCATTGAATGTCAAGTGGTGGTGATTAGATTGTCTTTTATTGGTGATGGTCGCAACTTGGCATTTGTGTGGCATAAATGTTATTTGCCACTTTTCAGCCTGGGTATTGTCAAAATTTTGTTGCATTTGAAAATAGATTGCTTCAGTATCTGAAGAATCGTGAATGGTGCTGAACATTGTGCAATCATCGGTGAATATCCCACTTCTGACATTATGCTGGAGGGAGGGCACTGATGAAGCAGCTGAAGACGGTTGGGCCCAGGGCAGTATCCTGAGGAACACCTGCAGAGATGTCCTGGAGCTGAGATGACTGACCTCCAAAAACCACGACCATCTTCCTATGTGCCACATTTGACACCAGCGAGAAGAGACTTTTCCCCCAATACCATTGATTCCAATATTGCTAGGGCTCCTTGATGCCACACTGGGTTGAATGCAGTTTTGACGTCAAGAGCTATCACTCTCGTCTCATCTCTTTAATTCAGCTGATTTGTCCATGTTTGAAGAAAGGCTGTAATGAGGTGCTGATTGGTCCTAATAGAACCCAGATTGGGTGTCACTGTGCAGGTTATTGCTGAGCTGCTTGATAGCACTGCCTTGCCACCTTCCACCCTTTTACTGATGATCAAGAATAGACTGATGGGGTGGCAATTAGCCAGGTTGGATTTGACCTGCTTGTTACACATATAGGACACACGTAGGGAATTTTCTACATTGTCAGATAGATGTCAGAGTTGTAAGTGAACTGGAACAGCTTGGCTCGGGGAGTGGCAACTACTGAAGCATAAACTTTCATTACTATTTTTGGAATCTTGTTAAGGTCCATCACCTTTGCAGTGTCCAGTGTCTTCAACCATTTCTTAATATCATGTGGATTGAATTGAATTGACTGAAGGCTGGTATTTGTCATGCTGGGGACCACTGGATAAGATTGAGATGGAGCATCCACTTTGTACGTCTGGCTAAAAATTGCTGTGGATGCTTCAGCCTTACCTTTTGCACTGATGGGCTGGACTCTTCCATCATTGAGAATGGGGTTATTTGTGGAGCCTCCTTCCCCTCCAGTAAGTTATTAATATCCACCACCATTCTTGATGGGATGTGGCAGGACTGCAGAGCTTAGATCTGATCCTTTGATTGTAGGATTGTTTAGCTCTGACTGTCAATTTCTGCTTATGCTGTTTGGCATGCAAGTGGCCTTTGATAGCTTCACCAGTTTGTCACCTCATTTTCAGGTGTACCTGGTGCTGCTCCTGGCATGCACTCCTGCACTGTCTATTAAATCAGGATTGATCCCCTGGTTTGATGGGATGTACCGGGCCATGAGGTTACAGTATGAGATGGAGCACAATTCTGCTGCTGTTGATGTTCCACAACGCCTGATGGATGCCCACACTTGAGTTGCTATATCTGTTCAAAGTCTGTCCCATTCAGCACAGAGATAATGCCACACGTACGATGGAGGTCATTCTCAAAGTGAAAGCGGAACTTCATGTTCACAAGGACTATAAGATATTGTTGTAGACAGATGCATCTGCAGCTGGCAGATTAGTAAGAATGAAGTCAAACATGTTTTTCCGTCTTGTTGGTTCCCTCACCACCTGCTGCAGATCCAATCTAGCAGCTATGTCTGTTAGAAAAAGACCAGGTCAATAGGTAGTACTGCTGCTGAGCCATTCTTTTTGTTGGACATTGAAATCCCCAACCCAGAGTACATTCTGTGCTCTTGCTATCCTCAGCAGTTCTTCCAAGTGTTGTTGAAGGAAATGTTCCATCCACACTAGATCAGGTGAGGATGGCAGATTTCCTTCCTTGAATAACATTAGCTGAGTTTCTGGATTAATAGTCCAGCACTAGACCATCGACTCCCCTATGATTGTAATGTTAACATCCCGATGGGCAATATCCGTAAGATGCAAATGCGCAAACATAACTAGAATTCTCAACACATAAGGACTCTACCCCCTCAGCTCTCTGTGACAAAGAGATCCAAAGTCTTAAAATCTTCTGACAGAAGAAATTCCTTCTCATCTCAGTCTTAAATTGGCATGAATTATTCTGAGTCTAGGCTCTTCAGCCCGAGACTGTCCCATGAAGGGAAACGCTCTCTCAGCATTCACCCTGTCAAATCCCTCAAGGATGTTGCATGTTTCAGTGAGATCACCTCTCCTTCCTCAAAAATTACGAAGAATAGAGTCCCAACAATGTTTAGCAACCCATAAAGAACTCCTGCCACACCAGTGATTATCATCATGAACATTCTTTGAATGGCCTCCCGTGAAATGATATATTTTCTTCAATGGGGAAGAGAAACTGTTCACAGTACTCCAGATGTGGTCTCACAAGCAGCTTGAACAGTTTCAGTAATACTTCCTTACACCTGTACTCCAATCACGTCAAAACAAATGTTAACACTTCATTAGCCTTCCTGATTACCTGCTGATCATGTGTGCTAGCATTTTGCATTTCGTGCACAAGTGCCCTCAAATCTCCTTGTGTTGCAGATCTCTGTAGCTTTTTACACCTCTCCATTTAAACAATGCTCACTTCTTTTGTTCTCCCTTCCACAAAGAACCACTTCACATTTTCCCACATTGTTGTCCATTTGCCAAGTCTTTCCTAATTTACTTTTAACTCATCAA